ATGGAAATATTGACATGAACACTTTACATCTCACAGGACTTTATTTTGGAGGATATCAATTGACATGTAAATTTTACCTCTACTATTTGGAGTTTGTACAATCATATGCTGATTAAAATCAGAATTTTAGGTTGTATATGGAGTGGTATAATGACAACTGGACTGGCTTTAGTATTTTCAGTGTTTTATTTCAATAAAGACATCTAGTTGATTAAAAAGTTTCTGCTGTTGAGCACTTTCATGTCCAAGATCATTACAGAAATTGCATATTATTTTCTTGTAAAAATACTGAAAGTACAGGTTAAAATCCATAAAGGTGAGGAGAGAAATGTGTTTTACTTTTTCTTACATGTCTTTTTTGTGATTGTGTTTTTCTCTTTAGCCTCTGCTTTTCAAGTGGGTAACAGCCACTTTCCATCATAATCTCATTCTTTTATTTCTGTTATATTTTTTTTTAACTGCAATGTGTGTCTTTAATTCCAGTGAAAAAGGCATTTAGTGTAGATTTTTAGTCAAATCAGTGATATATCAGGCCACAGCTCTCTAGAGCTGCTTCTATTAATCTTCTAATAAATTAGCATCACACATAACTGACAGACTTATATCTGTTTAATTAGATGTTAGATGGTTACAGATGTGTTATGGTTTGACACTGGCACAATGCCAGTGCCCCCATGAAAATGCAACCCTCCAGATTATTGCTGTGAGATACGATCAGGAACAGAGCAGAGCAGGCCCAAACTTAATAACAAAGGAAAAACGTTATTAAACTACTACTACTATAAAAGGAAAAAGAAAGAAAAACACACACTAAAACCAAAATGAAAACCTTCCAAAACATTCCTCCTGCCCCTCCCCACAATTCCAACAAACCACAGTGAGACACAACTTGGACCCCCCAGTCAGATTCCCACTCTTCAGATAATCAATACTCAGTCCATCGAGGGAGAGAGGAGTCTCTCTGGTGCCACAGACCCCCCCAAGAAACACAGATGCCACTTCTTGTGTTTCCATGTCACACATGGCACTGCCCGGAGTAAATCTGCCACGGTGACCCTCTGCTTTCCATGCACAGTGCTCTCACCACAGCGCATGTGACTGCTCTTAGGATTTTCCTTTTCAAGGATGCTTTGCCAATAGGGAAAAAACCAACAGTTTATAGTTTTTTATTTTTGGGACCACAGTCTCCCCCATTTCCCCCTGGGGTCACGGGTTCAAGAACACAGATCTTCTTCTCTTCTTCTTCCCTGAAGACAGGGGGAGAGCACCACAACCCTCCTCAAGTTTTCTCTGTTCACTCCACTCCTGTCTTTTTCTTAGCTGCTGAAGCAGGTCTCTTGGCTGACCGTGCATCCTCCTGAAATACAGTCTCTCTCTTGGAGGAGATATTGTGTCATTCTATGGTTAACAAGAAAAAGACCAGCCAAAAGCCACTCCATCATCTCCCCCCACCTAGAATTTCTCCTTCTAACATCTCAGGTCCCAGGCTCTCTCTTTTCTTTGCTTTCAAATCAAGGAGGAGTAATATTTCACAAAGCTTTCATCATCCGAGAAGGGGTTAAAAGTCTCAAATTCCCCGGATGGCCAGCAGCCAGGATCTTTGCCCAGACCTCCAGCTCCCATGCTGGGCACCTCGCGCCCCACCCCCCCCACCCCCCGCTCTTCTTCTTCCCCGTGGTCTACTGCTGGCACCGTCACTGTCTCTTTCTCTCTCTCTCTCTCTCTCCAGGGAGACTCTGGTGGGGGAAAACACAAACATCCCAGGTTTTCTCCACCCTTCATCCGCAGGGAGACGGAGCCGGTTCCAGACCCTCCACCCTTCGGCCTACCTCAGTTTTTCCTCCCCCACCCAACCGCAGGCTGGGCATTGGAGAATCTGCACCCTCTGATGACCGGAACCAAAGAGAGAAAAGTCCTCTCGAGTTCTGCTTTAAACCCCTCTGTGTTCTCAGAAGCGTGTCCAGCCTTCAATTGGTCAGCCCAAGTGTCAATATCCAACCCCAACCACTGATTGGTTTGACCCTCTTCCTTCTGAGAAAATTCTTTTCCATGTCAAACCACGACACCTTGTCATAGGCAGTAGGGTTGAAGAAATCCACTTTTCTCCCTTCACTTAATAATGACCTGGTGCTAAGTATCACAGGATGAAGTAATATCTGTATAGTACTAGACTACCTCTTGCAGCAAATTAAGCCAAAAGCAGTTATTTGCACAGTAATATTTATATTTTGAAATCTTATCAATGTGTGAAATTTTCTATCTGGATGTTGATGTTTGTCTCAATGGCTTGTAGGGAGAAGTTCTGTCCCTCAAACATCTTTTTTAGAGGGATTGCTAGCTAATAAGTACAAGAGGAGTGACCTTTAAGGTCACCCGCTCTCTTATGAAGTACAAAAGTATTGCCACTTTGCTGCATTCCAGACCCAGACTAAGTTAAAATGCAATGTTCAAGCCATTGAAGGATAGATAATTCCACTCAGTCCTATGCTTTTTTTCCTAATGGATGTCATTGCTTTTCCTACTTTGGGGAAGCTGTGGGATGGATATAGGCACCAGTAGTGCAGCATGAAGGAGCAGCAATCTCTGCCCAGCCGTTGGTGTCTCTGCTGCCTAGGCGTGCAAGGGGGAGGCCCACTGGCACTGCAAACCACTCCAGTGGTTTAAATCTTGGATCACAGTGGTTTAAACCTTGGGTCAGGTAATAAGACCCCCCTTTTTAGTTGAGCTGATTCAATTCTTATGTATGAATGAATGAATGAATGAATGAATGAATGAATGAATGAATACTGTTTTCCTTCCTTGATTATCACTTCATTCCATTTTTACATCCCAAACAATCTCCAGCTCTCAAGGATTCATGCCCTTAGCCACTGGTAATTTGTCATAGGAGGGTTGTTTACAGCCCTGGCTCTTTGTGCCTGTCTTTCAAAGTCGCTGCTGTCATCCCATCCTTCATGCTGCATTTTTATTTCTCACAAATTAGTTTATTCTACAAAGAACTTGTTCCTACTGCTGATCAGAATATACGTTATACGCATTTCACCTTGTAAATGAATTGCTGCCTTCCAACTGCATTGCATCAAATGTAAGAAAGCAATAATTATATTCCTCTAAGTGAAATAATCCTAGAAGTGTGTTCTTCTTCCCCTAAGTGTCCACTTCAGTGTGCAGCCAGATTTCGTTTGTTCTTTTGTTTTGAGCAGCAAAAACATAGTGTAAAGAAAGAATGAGTTTTAGGTTGCCATTTGCGGACACCAGAAGGGGACTGTTAACAGTATCTGTTCTTCCTACAGGTGTAACAAACAAATCATCCCCCCTTCCTTTCATAGTCACATTATTATGGTGACTACAAATTCCAGTAGAGAATTAAGAACCAAATAATTGCATGCAGCCAGGGAGGCAGCAGTGTGACTTTGTAAGTAGTTCGACTAAAGAACTGAGCTGGTTTGCTGTTGATCTCCACCCCTCAGCAGTCCAGAGGCTATACCATAGAAGTAGGAGTAGGATAGACTGACAGTTCCCTGAAGTATCCTAGATGCTAATGGCTCCAGTGAAAGCAAATTGAATTGCTAACCAATTAAACTGCCAGAATCTATCTTTTAACCTTTTACATGATTCCTCAGTTAATACTGAGTGTCTTTTTAACTACTCTGTAACTATTTGGTGGAAATTTTAAAATTCCCTGTAACAGCCTAGGGGCTTGTGCTGGGCTTCCTGGAACAGAGTTAATTTACTTCAATTTACTTCACAGTAGCTGCAATTGTGCCATGTTTTGGATTTGTGGCTGAAACACTATTGTTAACATTGGAATGCAAATTCTATGAAAAGTAGCAGGAGGTGCACAAGAAGCTGTGAAAAGACATGAACAGGACGCTGATCTCAACTGAACAAAGGGGTATTTCACATCATGTGGCATCATGCTCAGAAATAAAATCTGGTGGAAAGGAGTAGTAGGGCACAGTCATAGAATTACAACATGTGTCTTCCCAAGTAACATTACTTGTCATGGACCCCTGTTTTCATGGAGATCTCCAAATACCTGCCATCCATCAGGAATTAGTAGATTAATTCCTTATGTTGCTTTGCTTCTGTGTGCAGCTTTTGCAATAAAATTGTTTTAATCTCAAATTTACAAGCTTCTCACTGTTATCCTTCCCATTCTCTTCCTGATCCAGCCTCGGGGAGAGTGAGTGAGGTGCAGAGTGGAGCTCACCAACCTGTTTGGGTTAGCTCACAACAGTGCTACAACATGAAAATAAAGAAAAATCTATCTATATAAATATATGTTAGACTACAGTTGCAATTTGTAATATATGTACAACTTTCTCTCCAGGATTAACATGACAGCAGGGTATAAAATGGTTGGATTTTTCACACAGTAATAAGTAAGGAACTGCCACTTTCTCAACCTTTCTACAGCACATTTAAGTTTTTAATTTGCTTAAGTTTGGAAAGTATCCTGCAGTTTGCTAACTACATACTTCAAAGTGGACAGGAGTTTCTTTTTGGTTAAAGGTTTGCAGATTAACTATTGGGCTCTTGTCATTCACTTTCCTTCAGACTTGAGTGTGAGACTGGAGTATTAGATTTAGATGTGAGATTTGTTCATCACTGATGAAACTGAACATCTTGTTAAACTAATCTTTGCAGGAAAAAAGTGCATATGATGCTAAAATACACTTTTCTTGCTGAAATTTTTTAAGCCCTGAGAATTTTTTCTGACTATGCCTAGAACAGTGTTCTACAAATTTAACTTCTCTTATTGTACCCTCTACTGCATTGGTATTACTTTATGCAGAAATCTGGGTGAAGGTTAACAGAATTGCTCAGATGGTGATAACACTCAAATCAATAACTGCCTCTGGATCCTGAGCAGTACTGAAATTATACTATTAACATTGGCTTTAAAGCTTACTTCAGCAGTGGTCACATTTTTCCATTAGAGAAATAATCAGCAGAAGAACTAATTGGAGATATATTTGCAGATTTAAAAGGCTTACCCCCTAAAAATCCCATAGACGGCTGAATTGTGGTCAGATGGAAGAAACTGTGTTGCCCTTTGAGAGCCATGAGGTAGTATTTCCAGGTCTGATCTGAAATTACTAGATTTGTTTTTGTACTCTGGAGTTTTTTCTCAGGAATCCAGTTCTGCTTTATGGAGGAGTGAAAAACAAGTCAGGTTTGCTGCCACATTCACTGCATTTTCTTTTTGCATTTATTTGTGTAGGAGCTAAACAATGCTTGACCATTTATAAAAAGGGCAGTACAGACTGTTTCTGTTCTTGGAGTTCTTTCCTGAAAAAGTAATTTAAATTCTGCAGTAAAACAGACTGCCCAGCATCCTTGTTTTTTCTAACTCAGTTGCATACTTTCCATAAAAGAAATATCCCTGAATTTCTAAAATATTTTTTTGAGCAAAATTTTAGCAGTCATTGACAATTTTAAATTTAAAGAATGGTTTCGTCAATGTTCTGATACCAAATACACAACAAGGATATTCACTGTGACAATTGTGATTGGAGCAAAACCTCTTTTTTTTTGCTTTAATTCTGGCAGTGCAGTCCTGGTCCAGTTGAATACAGTGACAAAATTTCCATTAACCTCAGTAATGCAGAACTTTGTCTGAGGAGTTTCTATTGCCATTATTAATAGAGGTATAAGCCTCCAATAATGCAATCAAGGTCTATCAAAATCAGATTCTGTGTTGTGCCAAACTAATAATATTCAGGAAGCAGATAACAATCTATAAAACAGTGCAATGTGCTAAGGCTTTTATTCTTCTCACATCTCCATTGAATTATAATAGTAATACATGCTTGTTCAGTATGGTAATCCCATTCTTCACTGACAGCATGCAGCTTCACCTTTCAGGTGGTTCAGAATGACTGCATGATCTTTTCACAATGCTTTTCTCATATTCAGATTGTGTTCTCACTCCTAACTAATCTAGCTGTGTTCATCAAATTGCAATCTGTTTCTGCATCTGAGTGCTGTGGAAGTAAAATCTATCTTTCAAAATGGAGAATTGGTCTCATTTTTCTCTTAGCCACTGGAATGCTTATAATACAGATTAAACTAACTCACCCTTGACTATATGCACTAATCAAAAGTTATGTCATTCCAGGCAATTGAGATGTGTGAGACTGATTTTAAAGCAGGTGCTCATGTCTTCAAAATAACCATTGTTTTGTTATTTCCTGATTTTTTCTTTCTGAATTAGTGTTCTAACAGGGGATAGAGAATATACTGAAAGATAAAATAACTAGCTTCAAATAGTAAATTAAAACAGAAGGAATCTAAGCCTGAATCTGTGTTTTAGATTAACATTTTAATGGTTGTTTCCTTAAATTTCTACCACTCACATTGAAGTGTATTATATCACTACAGCATCTCACTCTGTAGTATGTTGCCAAAAGGGGTCACAAACCTTATTCTGTAATTGCAAAGAATCCTGCAATAGCACCTCTAAATCTGCAAAGTCATCAAGGGCAGTACATGGTAGATAAGTAAACAAGCAGAAAACAAATAGTACTGAAAATTGAATATGACATGATTGATTTTTGTTTTTGAGAAGATACCTACAAGCAAGATGTGAACAGAAAACACAGCATCAGTCTAGAGCTTAAAATGAAAGGTAGAGAATTACCTGTTTTTATAAGAAGAAATCATCAAATAAGGTAAAGGTAAGCACAAGCTATCAACAAAATATTTGGTGTCAGATAGCAACTGATTTTAATTTATATAATGGAAATTCTATATACTTGGCCAGAACAAGCAAGTTCATTTTACAGAACAACTGTTTTTATGTAGAGTGAGATTTAGTAGAGATCTTGTTTCTTTAGCACATCTGAGACTCCTGGCTGAAGGGTCCAAGCAGACACTACTGAATACATTTCTTGTTGAGCAGAGTCTGTACAGGTTTTGACCTGCATGGAAATTAAATAATGGGAGGAGATTGTGCTTGCAACTGACTGCTGTATGGGTCTGTGTTTTGGGTTTGCATGGCCAGGTTTTGGTAGTGGTGGGGACTACAGGTGTGACTTCTGTAAGAAGCTGCTGGAAACTTCTCCTACATCCCACAAAACCCATGCCAGATGACTCCAAGAGAAGCACTTTTCTGGCCAAAGCCAAGCCCATCAGAGACTGTGGTGATATCTTTGGGATAAAGGTTTTTTAAGAAGGGGGAAAAAATATACTGCACATCAGTAGCTGTGAGAGAGGAGTGAGAGGAACAGCCTCAGAGGCATCGAGGTCAGTGAAGAAGGAGGGGGAGGAGGTGCTTCAAGTACAAAAGCAGAGATGCCCCTGCAGCTCATGGGGATGAAAACTATCCCCATGACACATGGAGGTCCATGGTTTGGCAGAGATCCACCTGCAGCCCGTGGCAGTCCCCATGCTGTAGCAGGTTGATATGCCCAGGGTAGGCTGTGATCCCATGGGAACCCTATACTGGAGCAGGCTTCTGGCAGGACCTGAGGCTCTGTGAAGAGAGTATCCCACTCCAGAGCAGCCTATTCCTGAAAGACTGCACCCTGTGGAAAGGACAGGCTGGAGCACTTTGTGAAGGACTGCAATCCACAGGAAGAACTCACATTCCAGAAGTTCATGGGGAGCTCCCATAGGAGACATCCCATGGTGGAGCAGAGGAAGAGTGCGCAGAGGTGTCCTTCTGAGGAATAAGGACAGGCTGAGACAATATGTGTTGAACTGACTGCAGCCTCCATTCCCTGACACCAGTTACAGGGGTGGAGGAGGTAGTGAATTCTGGAGTAAAGGGAAGCCGAGAAATGATGGAGCAGTGGGCAGAAGGTGCTTTTAAGATGTGGGTTTATTTCTCATTATTCTACTCTGATTTGATTCGTGATAAGTTAAACTAATTTCCTCAAGTTGAATTTGTTTTGCCAGTCACAATAGTTTTTGAGTGATCTCTCCCTCTCTATCTGGACCCATGAGCTTTTTGTTATTTTTATTCCCCTGCTCAGCTGAGAAAGGGAGTGATAGAGCATCCTTGGAGGGTATCTGGCCCCAGTCAGGGCCACTCCAATATCAGGGCCACTCCAATATAATATGACACAATGCATTCCTGAGGCAAATGCCAGGAGTCCTATCTCTCTCCAGTTGATGTGATAAATGGAGTGCAAACCTACAGAGCAAAACAGATACCTCTGAAAGAAAAGCAGTGTCCATAATATCTCTCATGAAGCAAGTTTTCTTTTTCATATTTTTTTTTATTTTAAGGGAAGAGAAAAACTCTGGTACAAAAGTGAACTAATAACTTAATTGCTGTGGGTTTTTACTTGCAAATAGTCTGATATGGGTCAAAAAACAGCAAGAGGATTTCAACCCGAAAAGACTACATAGGTAACAGACATCTTTTAGTATCTTCCCTAGAATATTCTTGCCATATCTTAGGACAGAAAGCAATTTTTTCTCTACTGCCTATATCATCTTTTTGAATACTCTGGGCAGATGTTTTCTGTCCCCCGACCCCCATTCTTTGAAGTAAATTTTCTGCTTCCTCTGTTCATGTATTCTGTTCTTCTTGGTAGGCAGAGATGAACAGCTAATATTTTGCCATTATTTTTTCCATTCAGACTCTGTTCCCTCATTCAATTCCATTCACATTTTTATGTTCTGTAATGTTTCATTCTCAGCATTCAGAATTAGTTTTGTGACCATCAGCCATCAGAGAGGAAATATAAAAAGTGCTTCACACCATTGAAGGTGTGAGTATCTACAAAGGGAATACCTCCATTGAAGGCTCATCTGATCTAATTAGTACTGGGATCAGAGTGTTCCAGTTAGCCTAACCTGAGTATAAGTATTCCCACAGCAAGGCCTTCTGTGTGTAGCTGTCCCTGAAGCAATGTACGTGTGTGCCCAGGAGAGCAAAGCCCTGCTACCTTGTGCTGTTGTGCTCGGGGATTTGCTCCTGTGCAGCTGAGTCAAACATGAGAAAAGGTCTTGCTTTGGAAACGACAGTGCTGTGGCAATCCACACCACTCTTTTACTTCTGAAGACAGGTTCTGGGCTAAACTAAAGGACATAATGGCTATTAATTCATACAAATAGCTGAAATCCAGTGTGCCTAGGGTCAAATAAGCATATAGTAAGGTTGTTAATAGGTATAAATAAGGTGGTTTTAAGACTAAAATCAAGTTCTGTAGTGGATATTTTCTGGTTTACCTAATTTATAATCTGGTATCTGGTCATGCATATGACCAAATGAAGATGCCTCCCTGTAGTTCAACTGTCCACTTTACACTAAAGAAAACCAAGTAAACATCTCCATAAGAATCTATTCTATTGCAACATGCACCAAAGCTTATGGAAATCCTAGTGAGTGATAATGTTTTTATTTATATTTTGTCATTTATAATCGTGAAGAAAGTTTAAGGTAATATTTAGTGAAAGCTGATAGGTATTTGGAACAAAATTAAAGATGATAATGCTTATACACTAATTTATTGACTGGTGAAACTTTTTAATAAGCTGATAGTTTCTAGTCATTAGCAATTAATCATAACTTATAATGTTAAATCCCTTAAAAGTAAATATGTTTGCTCTCAAAATCTAGACAAAAGTATTCACTGAGTTCCTACCTCCAAATTAAATTGTAGAATAGTTGTGCTTCGAAGGGATCTCTGGGGGTTATCTGGTCTAGTCCCTTCCTCCTCAAGCAGAGTTACCTATACCTGTATATTTAGGATCATGTCCAGACATCTTTTGACTAAAAGTCCTGTCACTCTTCAAGGATGCATACTCCACAGCCTGTATGGGAAAACTGTGCCAGTGTTCACTCATCTGCACAATAGCAAGGTGTCTCCTGATGTTCATAAGGAACTTCCTGTGTTTCAGTTGATTACTACTGATTCAGATCCTGGGCACTACTGATTCAGATCAGGCACTGAAAATAGCCTGATTCTGTTCCATTTCTGTCCTTCCTTCACTAACGTGCAGTGAAAAGATCTCTCCACAGACCTCTGTTCTCCAGGCTGGACAGTCCCAACTCTTTCAAGCCTCTCCTCATATGGGAAATGTTTCAGATCATCACCTTCCTAGCTTTTTGCTGTATTAGTGTGTCCATGTACTTCCAGCGCTGAGGAGCCCAGAACTGGACACTTCCTCACTAGTGCTGAATAGAAGGGAATTTTCCCATCCCTCAG